TTGTCTGAAAATATTTGCAGACATTCAGACTTCCTATAACCTTGAATCTTTTTTTTTTCAGTTTTTTTCTCATCCAACAGTCTTTTTTTAGTTTTTCTCCCACCTACCCCCCTCCCCCTCCGCCCCCCTCCCTTCTGACCAGAATTTGAGCTGATGGTTGAAAGCGTTGCTGCAGAAAGCGTCAGCATCCACTCGCATCTGATCACAGGCTCCAGAAGCGAGAAGAGAAGCGATGAGAGGGGGAGGAGTTGAGACAGACTGGGCCTCAGCCAGTGAGCAGTGATTCAGTATGTGGGAAGGAGTGTGGGGATGTAAGGAGTGCAAAAGAAATCCTGCCGAGTCATTCTGGCGTAGGACGCTCTCGTCACCTCTTCGCCTCGTAGGAATACGTTGCAGAAGCGAATGCTTTGTTGTCAAAGCAGGGTGATATGATGCGATGTAATTGTGGAGGAGGAGAAACGCTAGCTTACATCATGAGTAAAAAAATAGATTTTTCCACTTTTGCTTATTTGCTGTTGATATTGGGGAATTTTTGTTTCCATTGACAAGAACACTTTTGAGCTCAATTTAACTTGGAGCCCTTGAACAGCATGCAAGCTAGTTGAAAAGTGCTTTCAAATAGTTAATGTGTAGATAATTGCGTGACACTTTTTGTGTGTTTTTGCTTTAATTTTTGCTTCTTTTTCATGAAATCACTTTCACCAAGGACACATCTATACAGCTGCATCTGTATGCCTCTTGCAGTTTCTTGCACAGGCCTTTAGCTGCTACATTGAGTGCTCTTCTTGATCGACTCGTACAATGACGGTTTCATTTCCTGAAAATGAAAAGCATGTCTTGTTGAATATGGCGACTTGTTTATGAGAAACTGTGGCCATGTTGGCATTAAAACTTGCAGCAAGCACCTCCAGGCAAGGGAATTTGAAATGCGCTGTAAGCAAACAATGCCCTCCCTATGAACTGCTTGCATAATAATAATGATTTAAATATTCTGGTTAAATCTTGTATTATAATGCATTATAATCAGTCCCAATAAATGTAGCATGAGATGGTTGGATTTGTTCTAATTATAACACTAACCGTTGGAAAAATATGACTGGAAAGTGGCAAACAGATGCTGGATACAAACTTGAAAAGTGTATAAGTGCCTTGTTCTTGTCTGCTCTGCACGCCAGGAATTCACAATGTTTTTTTTTAAATTTTTTTTTTATTAGTGATTCTGTGAGGTGTCATTAGCTGTAGAGTTTATTCAAATTTCTGAGGATTGCAAATGAGCTTCAGTGTCTTGTGAAAACTTCTCCCGTGATTCATCTGTTATGTTGGCGCTGTGGAAAAAAAATGAGGAAGGTTGTCGAACATCTTCAGGCATAAAACCTCATTACATTGGCTTTTCTACCAAATGTATGCAGACCTTGAGGTACTGTAACAGTAGTCGGAGAAACCTGTCAGGCAGGTGGGTGATCCATTAAACAGACAAACTAAAACATTCTGAAGTTTGAATGCATTTGGTTAAAATGTACCTTAGTTACAGGCACCTTTGGTGGTGGCACTGGATGTTCATGTTTATTCAGAGAGGACACCAGCTGAACTTGGCTGCCACTGACATCTTTGGAAATGTTGATCAATTCCACCACATGAGTGCTGCAACTTTTACATGCCATGTGTACAAACAACAGTGATTAAAACATAACAGCATTTACCCGTTGACATGTAAATAATATTCAGAATTTCACTCTCAGTGAAATTCTGAATATTAGTGCACCAAAGCATACCAAAACAATGCACCAAAGAAACATTGGAGGTGTTGATATTACTCAAAATTTTCTTAATTTCCTCACATTTTTCCCAGCATAACAGGTGTCTTTAGAAAAAGTAGAAAAACATCAAAATACATGGTGAGACAGAAAACAGGCAGCAGTTGTGCTGCCTTGTGCGCATCTACAATGAGATCCCTGACACAATGTTTCTGAACATTAAAAGCTTTTTTTTTTTCAAAAATGCCACAATCAAGTGGGGTATTAAGGGTATTTTTTTATATTATTTTCTTTACTGTATGACCTTGTTGTTGCATCAGTAACTGGCACAGATCATCTTTGTGTCAAAAAAGTCCACACAATGCAATCGCTGACATTTCAATTACGCCAAGCTGTTAATGAATTTCCAAATCTAAATACAATGGACAGAAAAAAAAAAACGATCAGTTTCAGAGAGATTAACTGTGTTAACTAATTAACATTGTGTTTGATTGATTTTTATGTTTTGATTAAGTTCTATAATTCCCTGCCTGCATCATCCTCTGCTATCATAACACAGCCCAACATGTTTGAGTAAATAATGGATCTACATTTTTCAAAAGTCCAATTTATAAATTTACTGTTTCACAAAATTAGCACAGCTTAGTTTAATGAATTAAGCAATTCATATCAATTTTGTGTCTTGAATGTGTCTTTCCTTATTCAGCAGTTATGCCTCTGGACTCGACTGCAGCGCAGTAAAAGTATCTCTGCAATAAAGAAAGCAATGCTAGACACAGGTCTCCTTTAAATGGAAGTATTTTTATGAAATGCTTGAACAGCTTGTGTAGTCTAAGAATTAGCCTAGTTAGGAACACAGAAAACCATACATCACAACGGACAATTTTCTGAATTATCCTGTCTCTTTAATTCATTTGCAGTGAACCGTGCTCTCATATGTCTAGCCCACAGTGCAGTGAGTCTCAGAGCTGAGCTGTGTGGCAGGCGTCTGTCATTTCTGAGGCAATGTGTTTGGCCCTGGGCCAGCAAGCTGGCAGCTGCCTTTGTGTGTCGTGACCACTTGAAGCTGGAGATTTTACCAGGAGACACATGTATGCACAAACAATCGGGTGCATATTTGCACACGTAGACGCACGCTGTGAAGTGGACACAAACGCATGCACGCACGCACACCGACATATTGCAAGCAAATTTGTATAATTATGCTCCTGACACTGCCTCTCAGTTTGCCCTCTCAAACTGGCTCTCAGAATACTTAATCAGTTAGCCTGCGTGCGCAAACGCGCGCATGCACAGACACACGGCGAAATTATGCAACAGATATTTTCATGCGGTACGTATGCGGAGAACATGAATGCACATCACCCGCTGGGAAGCGTGTTGTACACAAACACAAACAGGCAAGCTTTTATGGGCCCGTAAATGAGAAACAAATAGTCACTGAGAGCACACAGATTGCATTTTATGGAATAATATTTCTGAAAAGCAGAACACACAGCAGTAATTGTGTATAAAACTGCTGCAGCTGTTAAAGGGGAACTCACTTACAGACACAATATTTTACTCACTAGATGCAGGGGTGCTACAAACTGGCAGCCCTTAGGTTCTTAGGTTGAAGTGATGTAGCATGTAAAACATTTTGATTAGCCTTTTTGCAAGAAAAAAAAAATGCTATTAAATTGCAAATGCAATGCTCTACGTTTATCCACTTGTGTAGATGGTTAAGAAGTTGCATATTCTTTTTTTATTCTGACTTTTAAAAATGTACTTTGGAAATATTATTGCATTTCTACTAGCTTATACCAAAACATTTTGCTGGAAATGAGCAGGGCGTTAGGCTTGTGCACTGGCTGATATGATACAGATAATGACAGAGTTCAGTTCTTGGCTGCTACTTCAGTTAACTTGTAAATAATAAATTATGCATTGTTGTAGCAGTGATTGTAGTTTATCATCAATTGTTGTCATATATTCTCCACACACCAACACATTATTAAGTGTTTACCAGTAATGCCTGTTGATGCATTTTTAACTCATACCTAACTGCGTTTCCATCCAATGGCTGGATTTAGGCCCAATTTTGCCATGTACACTGTATACCTCAATGTATATCTAATGGGTCATATTTAAATTTGCAATATCATGTTGATTTAGAATCTGTTTGACTGTAAAACCGCAGAGAATTTACTTTTTAAATCGATTTAGCCGGCAAGGAGTAAATCAAAATGGGCAACCTGGCTGAAAGGTGTATTATCACCACGTACTGGACTGGATTGCCAAAAAGGATATTTGTGGGCAATCTAATAAAGTCTCTAAGCATTTTATTCTGTTGCCAAATTTTTGTGCTAATTTATTTAGTCATTTTACTTGGGAGACTTTCAGTTAGTTTTTGCAAAGCACTAGCTAATGCACATGCATTATATCAAACATGATTCATAACTGTTGAATATTGTAGAATTATGCAGAACTGTAATTGAGACATAACATTTTATTAATCTTGACTCTGATATTGATCTGATTTGGAATTTTCATGTGTTGAATGATTAAATTGCGCTGTAGCAGCTAATTCTGTTATTGCAAAGGAAATATTTATATGCTTGATCACAGGAGGATGTGATCTGAAAATAAAGAAGCCAGCTCTCTTGCTATGTAGATAATATTCATACGAGTAACTTAAGGGTTCCGTCTTGAGCCTCTGAAGTCTAAAGCTTTGTCTCAAACCGCTGTGCAGAATCAGACAGATCACTGGAGGAGCTAACTGACCTTGAAATATTAGCATGCTGGATTACCAAGGTTGCACACTATTATTCCACGGGAGGATGGATGAAAGAACACAATGATGAAAAAGGGATGAGAAGATGAATGGACAGCCATGTTTAAGGAGGGAAGGGTTTATAACCTCTCATTAAATCTAAGTCTGATGGATGGATGAAAGGAGGAAATACCGAGAGATAATGAAAACAGGAGAATTACGCTTGACTCTTGCCCTCATGTGTCCTATGGATGTACAGAAAAATGGGCTAAATGGCTGAGTTAAAGCCCTCTTTGGGGAGCCAGTCTTGTCTTGAGTGCTCCGACCTGTAGGAGTGGTAAATAATCCCCCTCAAACTGTGGCATAATGTGTCACTACTTATGAGACACTCGGTGATTTCCAAGAGTTTTCATCATTATTATCCAAACATTTACCCTTTAGTTTTTGGACGATGTCTCTAATGGTTGTTGCTTCTTTTTCTTTTCCTTCCACAGAATAACTTTCTGCCACCTGCCATTCCAGAGTAAGTGGCTGTACATCGGCACAGAACGAGGGAACATCCACATCGTCAACGTGGAGTCCTTCATGCTCTCAGGCTATGTCATCATGTGGAACAAAGCCATTGAACTGTGAGTGGCCCTGACCTCTTTTTTTTTTTTTTTTTTTTTTTTTTTTCCCCTTGATGGTTTCTCTCCAACAAAATTTCTCTCAAGTCTCTTTTCTTTCTCCTTATCTTCCAGTTCCCATACATCTGAACACAGGGCTGCACAGGCCTTGTTTTCAAATTTCAGCTTCATATTTAAAAGCTGTCTCATAGTTGGTGGACTTTATAAGTGTGAACTTTCCTGTTACAATACCAGACTTTTGTGATTAGTAAATAGTGTTATTGTAAATACATTTTTCTAATTAATAAAAACAAAATATTGTTTTACACTTAAAATTTAAGTAAAAAAAACAGCACAAAAAGGGGAAAAACATTTAAAGAATGACATATCTTAGCTAAACAAGTGTTAACGCTATTACTGTTTCAGCAATTTCTAGGATACATTTTGTCTTCAACGTTCTTCAGGTGACCCCATACATTTTAATTTTCACCTTTTAACAGACTTGATTTTGAGTTTTAACTGAGCTTTTCCAAAACATAATTTTTCTTCCAAAGAGAACATACTTTTTTGTTGACTTGAACAAAAAACATGGTCACGGTGAAACGGCGTATTATCGTCAGCTTTCTCGAAAACACGTAAAGGTTTTTGGTCTAAACTACCTGATATGTGAGGCTGTTCATAACTTCACCTGAAGAAAATAAACAGTTTCGAAGAAAAGCAACCCCACATCATGATGCTGCTGTCACCCTGTTTCAGTGTGGGGATTGTGTTCTGTAGACGAAGCACACTTTTGTTTGTGTGCCAAATTTAACTTTTAGAAATGTTGGTAATTTTCTACCCATCACCTCAATTTTTGGACTAATTTACTTCTGTTTCCTTTTGTTCCTTGCATTTGTGGATTACTTGAGTTGTTTGTGTTTTTTGAGGTAAGTAGAATAGCTTTCTAAGCTGAGCTATAGTTTTGTAACGACATAAGAAGTTATTCATGAGTGTCATTTCAAAGCACGGTGTCAGGTAGTGAGGATGCCATCTCTGCTGTTTGAATGGATCCGTCAGGATGACAGGCTCCATTTGGGCTCCCCGCTGTAGAGACTTAAATTATTCACTGGAGCATTTTGCTTCACACTTTCCCCCTCATCCCTCTTCTTGCATGTGAGCCCATATGCATGTTTGTGTGTAGATAGCAGGAAAGGAGGAGGAGGGAGTGGGTGGAACAGGTGTCTGCCGAGATCAGTGTATGGTACACACAGACGTCTCGTCGACAGGGCTGCGGGGAAGAAAAGGCGAGAGCTGAGTGGTGGGAGAGGGAGAGAGGGGGGAAGCGGGATTATGACAGAGGGGAGAGAAGCTGAATGGATGAGATGGGGCTTTCGCCTGGGGAAAAGGACGCGCACAGAGGCAGAGTGATGGAGGAGATGGGTGGAGTTGTGATGGAGGGTTAAAAGCAGGTAGCACAGGGCAGAGCAGATAAAGGAAGTTGTGCAGATAAGAGATAGCGACCAGGGAGAAGGTTTCCAATTAAAGAAAAAAAAAAGGGCAGGAGGTAAAGAGTGATAATGACGAGATGGAGAGACGATATGAATGATAGAGCAGCAGATACCATATGGCCTTCAGATTAAAGGACGAGCATTAACTTTGACTTTTCTTGACGGAGTTATCTTCCTCTGTCCCTCACCTTCATAGTTCACACTTAATTTTGTTCGGACAGAAAAAAAAATTCTAATAAATTTTAAAAGGTATATAAAAAAAAGTTTTGTTTCAATAAAAGAAAACATAACATTCTAAATGCAAAGCATTAATCAGTTATAATTAAATGTCTTGAAATGTTTGTATTTATTTGTAAAAAAAAAAAAATCATGTTATTTAACATGAAATATGCACAAATTAACCATTAACTGCATGTTACCAATGGACTTCCTACACTGACCACTTAGAGTCACTTGGTGAATTTAGAGGAAAATCACATCCTTTAAGATGGTCGAAGTGTCGGGACTGATTTCTCTGATATGCTACAGAAGCACATGGTTTGCATATTTGAGCGCACGCGTGTGATTTGCTTTGAAGCAGATCAGAGAGGTGTGAGCCGAACCTTTTGTTCTTTGTCCTTGTATCTCTGTGCCAGCTGTAGAGGTCACGGGGTCAGTGTCCAGGAAACAAAAGCTTCTTTTACCCCTTTTTATTTGGCCGCTTGTGTTTTAATAAGACAAGGAAGGAGATTACAACTGCAACTGGTACAATTATATAGGTAATTTTGATTAACGGGTAGTCCTGTTTCCACTTTACTGGAATTAGCTCTTTACAGATTTGCACGTTTCTCATTTTCCCAACTGATTGCTTTATTATGCTGATTTTGAGGAGTAGCATAATAGAATATTAGAACAGCAGCAAAAATATTATTTTCAAGTCATTATGAATTTATATTAGGAGCTAAGGCAATGTCCTACCATTATTGAAACTGTTAAAGAGGTTTTTTGTCTTAAAAAAAAATACTTATACCAAAGACAAAATGATCATGGCCTTGACATTTTTCTATCTTTATCATCTTAAATTAGCTGTTAGCACAGTAAGCACTGCTGTTATTATTAACACAGAACTCATGCATTCAATTTCACACCTTACTTTCCAGAAGGCCATCAACATAAAAAAAAAAAAAATCAAGGATAATCCATAACAGACACAGGTTAAAAGTCAAAAGGATAAAAGAAAGCAACTTTGTTTGCACTGTTTAGCCTTCCTGTTATCTTCCAAAGAGTCGCTACTTCCCAAACTAAATGATCACAAAGCATGTCTTAATATACTGCAGAAACCTTTCCAGTAAAATGTCGTTTTTCATCTTTTCTCTAACACGGTTCTAACCGGATCAGATTTTTTTAACCACCTCACTGATCCAGTGATTTAGATTTAGTTTAAAAAAACTGAAAGTAGTAGCTGCTTTAAATATAATTTGGATTCTGGGAAACCAAATGTCTTGCTGTCGTTGCTAAGCCAGGCAGTCTTGAGACAGTTTCTTTATATTATTCTCAATTTAAAACACAACCCCTGCATTGTTACCATTAGCATGGGTATAGTGTTGCAAGTAGTACTTAAATGTTAAATCCCACACTGTGCTCAGTGCACCACTATTCTCCTGTGACTGCTAATAGGCCACGATGTAGCGGTTTCTGGGGTCATTGTCCCTTGGGTCCTTCTATTTGGAGACTAGCAGCACTTGCTGTGCCATTTAGCCCAAGGCCTGGCACGGCCCTGTCCAACCCAAACCAATGCTGTGTGCTCATGACTCACACCTCTGTTCCAAAGCTACTTTGCTGTAAACTGTACCGTAATGTAAAGTAAACACACAGACGGTGCACTATTTTGTGCAAATGCACAAAATGTCTTAAGATATGTGAATGGCTGTCGTTTGTGCATCTCTGAGTGAGTTCAACTTGATTCAGCCACATAGTTAGTCCAAGGTGTGGTAGAGTAGAGTGATGAATCTGCACAGCTTCCTGCGACTCTGAGTTTATGTGAGCATTTTGACTTGAGGCATCTCCTCCTTTTTATTTCACCTGTTCTCTCAGAGGCCAGCAGCTATTGTAAATGTGTTTTGTACTAATGCTATTTCTTGCAAACTGTAGTTTTGTGTATTTGTACAAAGACGTCACCCTATGCATGAAAAGAGGGAAAAAAATGTCTGTAAGTGGATTTCTAATTACAACCATTGTTGAAGTGACTGCTTAAAGAAAGTAATCTTGTTGTTTTACCTTGTCTTAATTTTGTAAATTACACATTTGAGTAAAAGACCAATTAATTTCAAGTAGGTCTCACAATTTTGTCCATTTGTTTTGTCCTAAATAATCTAAATATTAAAACAGTGGTTTATTTACAATCCTGATACTGATCTTACACCTGGCAATATTAATAATATGCTAATAGGTTTAATTTACAGAAGCCTCAAACAATCTCAAGGTCAATTTCAATTATTGGTAACAGTTGAAAGCAATATTAGCATTACTTTGTTGATAACTTACTCTTAAGTCAGAGACACAGTTGAACACAAACACTGGCAAAAGTGTACCTGGCCCTGAAACACAAAAACAAGAGACAACAAAGTTGATGGTAGCAATAGCTAGGGGCACATCTGAACACAAACATCGAGCCAATAACAAATACTTTGTCATTGAGAGGGACTACACAATAGTAATGACAATGGTAGCCCTATTTACTCAGTACAGAAAAAGAAAAGATTAAACAACAGATACTGCAGTTTCTTCTATGTAAAGAAAAAAGATGGCTCTAAATAAAACAAAACATGAAGAGCAAATATGATTTAAAATGACTGTAAGCACTTCTGACTGAGGTGAAATGAGGCCACATATGGCACGGACAGACTGCAAATATGCTGCTTAAGCCACGCTGTTTCACTGCAAGCTGCCTCTGAGATCATCACCTGCGATGACACCAGATGTTTTGAGTCTTGCTCTCTGTGTGCATAACTTTGTGTCAGGTTTTATCTGTATGCGCAAGTGCTGGTCAAGGATGCATTAGATTGTTTAAACACATTACAGAAAGCAAGATGCAAAATATATAAATAATATGCTACATTTTTTTTAAATACTGGAAATTTATTAAGCACAAAAAAAAAGAAACTCCTTGCGTTTCCCCTGAATAGATGTTGAGTTTAGTGAAGTGTTTCTTTTTCTGTTGCTTAAATATCCCCGCTGTGCCATCAACACACCCACCAACAATTGCCTAGCAGCACTTGCGTGCTTGCTTGCAAAACACACCTAAAGTAATAGTCCATTCTCTTTAATGCACTGAAAGCATGGTTGGGCAGTGGTGATACTCAGAAATGGATTTTGGTGCAGCACAGGTGCATAAAAGATGAGTGTCTGAACCGAAGCTACCAAGGTTATACTTGCCACTGGGTATTCAGTTTAACTCAAGCAGTCGCCAGGTTTTGCGAGTGTGTGCTTGTTTTGAAATGGAAAAACCTTGAATAAGTAGCTGAAAAAGACTGGAATGTGATAAATGTGGAAGGTGCTGTGAGAATAGCGGCATGCAGACAAGCAAGCACACATGCATGTACACACAGACAGGTGTGTGTGTGTGCAGCAAAGCATGTCCTGACAGCTTTTGGTCTGTGTGGGTGTGTCGGTTTGCTCGTGGCAGACTACAGATGGTTTTTGGGAGCCTATGTGCACTCTGCCCATCCTGCCTCTGTTGCCATGGTGATTCCTTTATCTCCAAACCTGAATGTGTATTTGGAGACTTTGCGAAAATGTTCGTGTTGGATTTATGTGCTGTAAACAATTTAATCAGAATTTTTGAAGATGAATAGCAAAGATGGAATTAAGTCGTTGGACAAGTAAGCATACCTCCCTGTGACGATGGCGGGTTTTGACATCCATAAGGAGGCTATTTATGCTATTGGGGATATTGTTTGCAAGTGTGAAAGAGTTCAAATATGTGTGCGTGCATGTGTGGATAGCTCTTAGCTCACATACAGACAGTGAATGGGTATTAGACACATCAAGAGATCCTGCTGCAGCAGAGCTTAGGTAATAAGGCTCCAGTACCAACAGGCTAAATATAGAGACAACTGACTGTCTGCCTGCCCACTAACTGTTACTTTCTAATAGACAAACGAGCACACAGACCCATTGTTAAATATGTTTTTCTTCTTTTGATTTTATTTATAGATTCTGGCAATGCACATCTGTTAAAAACAACAACAACAAAAAAAAAACAAACAAAAAAAACTTTTTGTTGCAGTTTTATTTCTATCTACATTTTTCTTGAATAGTGTAATACAGGTATGCTCAAATTAATTGCATGGTGACTGGGAAGAAATTTAATCTGGACCAGCTAATAATGTAAGTTTAAAAATGAGATTTTAAGTTTCTCACCACCACACCTCAAAGTGTCATTAGGCAAGACACTGAACTCCCAAGTTATAAACTGATTTACCTTTATGTGCATTTCTGTTTGTTTGACTAGAGAGCACTAAACGAATTCAGTTCATTTTCCATTTATCATAAGAACAGATTTATAAAAGACACATGACGTACATTGTCAGTAAGATTGAGAATAAGCTTTCACTGCATGAGTATTTTTTTGTTGTTTTTCTTTTCTTTTATACTTTAGTGTAAAAGTAGAAAAAAAAAATATGGCTGCTACGTTTTAAAGTTCACAGAGATAAATTGTATTCGACCTAAACTGATACTGGAACCAGAAACTGTAATTGTAACCTTTCATCAGTACAACTCCAGTTTTATTTTAGCATCAGAAAATCCTATCCGTCACCTTCAGCTTTTCAGCGTGCCAAAAACAAATTGTGCACAGTCATAAACCGGACCAAAACGAAGGTGTCCAATTTTCCTCACTTTTGTGCATCTTTCATTTAGCTTCCCCTTCCTATCCTTGTTTGGTGTCCTTATCCTTCCTCCGCCGTTTAAGAGTTATGCTTTTACAGCAACAACAATTGCCGTTTTTCAGCAGTGACCTTCCCATCTCACCTCGTAAAGGAAGAGCAGGCTAGGAAATTTCTGAAACGGGGAATTTGGCACAAAGCTGTCTGGAGGGTAAGACACAGACAGGAGGACGAGAGAAGAGGCGTTTTTAGGCTTTCTCCACGGACATGCAAATTAACAGACGCATAAACTCGCGTACACACAGCCACCAGGGACTGACACAGTCATTTATCACAACCTTTGGTGAATTTATGTCTTTCGGCTGCCTTTTTTCACCATGGGGTCAGCAGCAGCGTTGTCTTCTCTCTTCTCCCTTCAATCCTTTCACCAAAGAAAAAAGTACATTATTCGGTTTTATATTCAGTTTTTCTCAGCTGAATGTTTTGAATAATAGTTGTTTACTAATCAGACATACATATTGATCTGACATTAACCACTCTAAGCACATTGTCAATTAACATATCATTGTATATACACAATGCTTCCATTACATTTTTTTAAAGCAAGTATTAACACAGTTTTCACAGAAACGCAATATGAAAAATAGATTAAAAAGAAAAATACTTATTTCAATGTAGATGAATTAATAGCATCTGTTTTTGGTCATAATTGGCAACATAATTACCAATGTAATTGTCAAATGACTGGAATCACCTACATAGGACCTGCTTGACAACATGAAGTAGGCTAAAAGGTTTCTAAAACAACACATTATGCCACAATATAAAATAATTCAAGAACAAGTGGTTGTAGCCAAAAAGACATAAAACCAATTCTAAGGCTTTTGGAGTTTATATGCTATATGTCTACATGCTTTTGGGGAGTTTTACTTTGTTGTTGATTTTTATATACCATAATGATTAAAACAATAAAAGCAGTTTGCTTTAATTTACTCGGGTTATCTTTGCCATATGTTAAAAATAGTTTGATTAACTCAAAGATTTGGGTCTGACCAAAAAAACTGAAATAATCTGTAATTGGGGCTCAGATTTTTTCCCCCCATGGCACTGTTGCTGTTTTTATTTTGGGTATCATAGATCAAAATGGATAAAATACATTTTCTGTTCTGTCTTTTTGTCTCTCATAAGTTCCTCCAAGTCTCACCCGGGACCAGTTGTCCACATAAGTGATAATCCTATGGATGAAGGAAAGGTAAAGCACAACATTTTTGTCTGCAGCTGCACATTTCTTCATTGTGGTTTAATACTTAGTCCCATTTACAGTCAGACGTTTTCATACACATTGCAGGCACCAATGTACGTTTATTAATAAGTGGCTTTCAATCATGTATTTGAACAGATTTTCCCCTGAGTGGAATGATCACACAACAAACAATGTCAGATAATGAAAAGCCTGAATTTATAGTGGATTTTCTGTATTTAGTAAAATGTTCTTGTAAGTGGCACATAATGCACATGATTTTTTTGGGGGGGGCAAATCTAGGCAGAATTGGTAAAGCTCTTTTAACCTCTTTGGTTTCCTTGACCTGACTTTTATGACTACACACATTTTCAACATGGTTAAGTTCTGGGTCATCCTCAAACTTAATGTTACTGTGCTACTTTGATTCCAAAACCAGTAATGGGATGTGTTTAAGATCGTAGCCAGTAGTGTCCAGTTTCTGTTTTGAATGTTTAAGAACAACCAAACAAGTTTCAAGCCGAGTGTAAACAAGACCTTAGTGACGCACCACAGTTCTTGCTCACACTTAAGCAGGTTTAAAATCAATATAGACTGAGAGGAAAGAACATCCTGCTCCAAAACAAATAACCAAATGCTTGACTGAAATTCATGGTTGTTGACATTTACATTTAAAACGCTGCTGTACAGTTTCAGGTTTAAAGCAGATAAAGATTGAGCTCTTTGATTATAATAATGAGAAGAATGTTTGGAAGTCTGTCAAAGAATTGAGAGAATACTGTACCAAGTTGTTAGCAACATGATGAGGATTTTGTTTTCAATTCCACTGATACGGGTGAATTACACAACGTGGTTGAGAAAAATGGACACACTCCAAATTCTTCAATTTTGTCTCAACACAACATATAGATGGTTGGAATTTGGAAACAATTTGTTGTTCCAACTACATAGTGATCCAAAATGCAAACTAAAACTTGTTTGATAAAGTTTTAGTTTATCAAACAAAACAATTATCAACATGTTGACATGTTGATAATTGATACATGTTAACATCAAGTTTGTGGAATAACCTTGAATTTGGCTTTGTTAAAATTTTAATGGAATTTTAATTTTAAAAGCTGGATCTCTTCCTGGAAATTAACCTATTTAAATACTCTCAACTAAATACTCGGAGAAGCATAGTGAATATGAATAACATGACATTCGTGAATATGAGATGAAAACTTCTAACTTAAAGCAGTTTTGTTATCTGAATTTAACTTGTACTTTTAAATCACCCATGCAAAGTTGGAAGTTAACTGAGGGAGGTTAACAGAAATGGTTCATGTGAAGTGAACCATTTCAAGCTGTGGGACAGAAGTAATCTAAGAACGCAGGTTATTATTATTGTTTTTTGTTTAGATCACACACAGCAATGAAACTAGGTGTTTTGCTTGTGAATATTCGGTCATTTTTTTCCGTTCTTATTGCAAATTCTTGTTCTGCTTATCCCTTCTTCAGAACACTTGATAAATTGACATTTTTATGAATGCTTGGAGTTACCAAGCAACTGTTTTCTAAAGTTGAAAAACACATGACTAGAAACTTTTATCCTGTCGACCAAAAGAAAACTAAATATGGTCACGCAGACAAACCACTGCTGTACACCTGTTGTTGCAGTTTGCTGGTCACTGTGTTTCAAAGTAACAAAACGTTATTGTGTCGCAATCCTTTTCCAGTCACTGGAAACATTTTTGTTACCTGTCCTTTTTTCCAGCAATACCCTTCATTCTTATGTTGTGACCAATCAAATCACAATGATCTAATTAATGCTTTGAGCATGTTTGTGGCACTCTTGCTGTCAAACAGATGAACATGTCTTCTACATGCGTTTGTGATTCATCCGTCTGCCTGTTCTAATAAGTCTGTGAGCTCTCTCAGCCATCATTCTGTCAAAAAATGTAGCACTGTAAAAAAAAAAAAATGAAGGACTTCATGCATACATATTTTAATGTTTGCATGAACAACATTGATGTTGCAACGTATTTCTTCATATAGGCTTCCCAGCAAATACAGCGTCCACAATATGCACTGCATGTAGAGTATCATTACTACCTTCACACTTTGCTACATGACAGCTGCAAACTTAAATATCTTTAAATTAGATTTTTAAAAAAAAGATTTTAAGAAAATTATTTATCTTCATTTGTAAAACACTTACTGTAAGAATGCGCCTTTACAGTGCTGAGATTATTTCTTTTCATTTTATTTATTTGCTTCACGTTTTAAGATGAATCTAAAAGTCTCAGCACATGTAAAGCTTTCTGTTTGCTTTATATATATATATATATATATATATATATATATAATATGTGTGTGGTAGGTTTTGTTTCCTTAAATAGGTTGTCAAAAATCAAAGCAGCCTTTTGTTCTTTTTGCAAGCCTTTTTTTTCCCTTGCCTTTTCTGCTGTCAACCAGGAGTAGCAGGTTGCTACTTACACCGACTTTCTATCATACTGTGCTGGAATGTCAAGAGTATTACTTCAGTTTCAGCTCATCAGAGGGTCGACTCTATCCCCCGGTCTCACTGAATGGTTGTTGCTCTTCCTCTGCAGCTTATAATTGGATTTGAGTCTGGGATCGTGGTCCTGTGGGATTTGAAATCAAAGAAAGCAGACTATCGCTACACTTACGATGAGGTAGGCAAATCTCACTGACTTATTTCTTCCCTTTTGAGTCTTTTCCTTTGGTTTTCAATCAGCGGTGAACTTACCGTTGTCTCTTTTATAACCTTGAAACTGGATCAGATTTTCATGACCTGCCTGAGCTGTGTTTTCTAAAAGTAAAGTGTTTGTTAAAAATGTATATATTACTAAGATTCAATTTTAACATAATCAGACCTGGGACCTGCTTTTTTTCTTTTTTTTCTTTTTTTTACAATACTATTGGAGGGTGGCAGCTGATTCTTTAGAAGCACCTGGACTCTGTCGTCAATCGAAAAAGTACAGTCAGCAGGATGCCCCGGGTCACTCTGCTGGAGTCCCATGGCTTTATTGACTTCAGTTCCTTGTGACATTGATGAAAACTTAGGTGGACATGCTAATTTTTACTGAGTGTTTGCTTTGCTTGGAGCTGTTAGAAGAAGTGCAGACCATCAGTAAGTTTCAAAGCTCACATTTATTGACTAAAATGTCACACTGTGGCAGAAAATTGACAGGATCACCAGTCAGCAGATAGGAGGAAAACAGAGCAATGAATCAGTCTTATCAGGCTGTGTCTCTGCAGTGTTATGAAGACACTGTTATCAGTATCTGTGGACCACTGGGATCTTTAGCATAGTAATATGTCACCTTTCAGCACGTCTCTTTCTAATTTCTACTTTTGACAATTTACCTTCTCTTTCTTTTGTCAAATGGGAATACATGTGATTAGGAAAATAGAGAAAATGGAAAAACGATAAATATTTACATATTAAAACATTTATCTTGTAAATAACAGATCTGTTAAATTGGTTAAATGGAAACATTTTAACAAATCAGAGGCAACCGAAAAGTGCAAAAAGTAAACATTACCTGAATACCAATTAAAAGGTAATTTAACAGCAATATTGGCTCTGAGTTTAGTCACTCTTTGACTGTTTGTGCTTAGATTTGCTTTGATCTAAATAAAAGATCTAAGCGGATGTTTTTGTTTTTATTTGTTGCATTTGTTAGATTCTTAATTTTTATACCATTTATCCATATTCGGTTTCGGCTATCGATTTCTCCCAAATGTGCACTAGATAATGGGATAAAACCCATACACAACAAAATAAAATGAAATATGAAAGTGATGTCTCAGACAAAACTGTTTTTAAGCGTCATGGACTGCACCTTTTTTTTTTTTTTTTCTTCTGCAAAATATAGTGTGCACAAAAATGTACTCGTGTTTTTCTTGGTAATAAGAGTAAGGTGGAGAATTATTAAGTCCTGCCTTTTGGAGATTTCTGGAAATATTCTTTATAATGAAA